GAGGCCCATCCTAACTTTCTGACTTAGATGTATGAATTCTTAAAAATCTTGGAAAAACATTAAGTTCAACTCCGAATACTATGAGATGCCTGTGTCACAGGCAGTTGATTCAGTCAGTTATTCACTGACCGTATTTACTGAGGCCTTGTTAAGGCACTGTTCTATGTGCCAGAACCAAGAGAAAACATCAGGCAAAATTCAAACCCATACAGAACCTATGTTCTTTTGTGGGGGAAGAAAATAAGCAACAAACATAATAAGTAAATTTTCTAGTATGTTAGAAGGTAACAATGCTATGGAGACAAAAGCAGGATATGGGGGTTGAAAGCAGCATGAGTTCGATTTACCTGGGTGGGAAGGGTGGGCCTCATCTGAAGGTGGCGTATGAGCAAAAGCCTGAAAGAGGTGATGGAGAGAGCGATGCAGATAGCCGAGGGAAGAGCATCTGGACAGAAGGAACGGCTACATGCGATGCAGGATGTCCAGAGTCTTCAGAGAACAGCTCTTAAGCTAATGCCCCTGGAATGGAGTCAGCAAGGGGAGCACCGGAGACGAGGAGAGAGTGGAGAGGAGGGCACAGGTTGTGGAAGGCCTCGTAGGCCGTGGTAAGAGCTTCGAATTTTGCTGTGAGTAAGCTAAACATGGATTGGGGGAGTCTGAGCAAAGAGTAAAGTGAGACCTAATCTGACTTGGGTTTTAACAGGACCATCCTGGCTGCGGGACGGGAAGAGAACACAAGAGTGAGCAGGGCAGCAGGTCCAGGTGGGAGTCCACAGCGGCTTGGAAAGGGTGGTGGGCGTGAAAGATGGTTTGGTTTTGTATATATTTGTGTACGTGTACATATGTGTGTGTGGCTGTGTCTTTGACAGTTTATGCTGGATTGAACGTCGGGTGTGAGAGAGGAAGAGGAGTCAACGGAGTTGTCAGACCGGGCTACAGGGATTTTGTTATCATCTAAATATATTTGATTTTTGAAACCATGGAAACATATCAATGATAGTGCATAGAATGAGATTCCTAACAGAAAAACATCAATAAATTGGACTCCATCAAAATTAAAAACTTTTTCTCTTTGAAAGACCATTAAAAGCATGGGAAGAAAAGTGAAAGACTTGGAGAACATATTTGCAAACCACAGATATAACAAATAACTCTTACCTACTATATACATAAAGACATCTCAAAACTCAACAGTAATAAGGGGCCGGCCCTGTGGCCAAGTGGTTAAGTTCACGCACTCCGCTTTGGTGGCCCAGGGTTTCACTGGTTTGGATCATGGGCGTGGACATGGCACCACTCATCAAGCCATGCCGAGGCGGCGTCCCACATAGCACAACCAGAAGGATTTGCAACTAAAAATATACAACTATGTACCGGGGGGACTTTGGGGAGAAGAGGAAGAAGGAAAAAAAGAGGAAAAAAAGAAGACTGGCAACAGATATTAGCTCAGGTACCAATCTTTAAAAAAAAACCAAAACACAACAGTAATAAAACAAACAATCTAATTAGAAAACAGGCTAATGATATAAACAGATATTTCACTGAAAATAATATGGATAGAAAATAAACATGAGATGTTCCACATAATTAGCCATCAGAGAAATGTAAATTAATACAATAAGATACTACTACAAACCTATTAGAACTAAAAGATAATGACAATAACAAATACAAGATTAATATACAAAAGTCAATTGTTTTCCTCTACACCAGCAAAGAACTATTGGAATTTGGAATTAAAAATACAATATCATTTATAACAGCATCCAAAAAAAGGAAATACTTAGAGATAAATCTAACAAAATATGTACACAACATATATGAAGAAAACTACAAACCTCTGAAGAAATCAAAGAATATTTAAATAAATATTTTATGTTAATAGATTGAAAGCCACAAGACTGTTAAAATGTTAATTCTTCCCAACTTGATCTATAGATTCCGCCCAATCCCAAAATCTCAGTAAGCTATTTTGTAGACATTGACATACTGATTCTAAAGTTTATATGGAAAGGCAAAGGACCTAGACCAGCCAACACAAAACTGAAGAACAAAGTTGGAGGACTCACACTTCCCAATTTCAAGACTTACGACAAAGCTTTGTATTACAAAGCTGTAAAGTGACCAAGACAGCTAGGTATTGGTGAAAATACAGGCACATAGATCAATGGAACTCAATAGAGAGCCCAGAAACAGATCCACACAAATAGAGTCAACTGAGCTTTGACAAAGGAGCAAAAACAATTAAATATAGAAAGAATAAGCATTTCAACAAATGGTGGTGGAAGAATCTGACATCCATATGCAAAACAATGAATCCAGACACAGACTTTATACTTTTCACAAAAATTAATTCAAAATGAATCATAGACCTAAAGGCAAAACACAAAACTATAAAACTCCTAGAAGAAAACGCAGGAGAAAATCTAGGCGGTCTTAGGTTTGGTGATGTTTTTTTAGATACACCACCAAAAGTATGACCATGAAAGAAAAAATTAACGAGTCGTATTTTACATTAAAATGTAAAACTTCTGCTCGAAAGAAGACACAGTTAAGAGAATAAAAAGCCACAGAATGGGAGAAAATACTTGCAAAACACCCATCTGTTAATGAACTCCTGTGCAAAATATAAAAAGGATACTTAAAACTCAACAGTAGGAAGACTATCCAATTTAAAAAGAGGAAGAAGCTGTGAACAGACAGCTCAGCAAAGAAGATACACAGACGGCCAATAAACATCTGCAGACACGCTCGCCATCATTTACCATCAGGAAACTGCAAATGAAAACAACAGTGAGCTGCTACTACACACCTATTAATATGGTAAAACATCCCCAAACTGAAAATTCCAATTACTGGTGGGGATAAAGGGCAACAGGAATTGTCATTCATTGCTGGTGAGGATATAAAATGGTACAGACATTTTGGAAGATAGTTTGGCAGTTTCTTACAAATCTTAGCATAGTCTTACTACATGATCTAGCAAACACACTCCTAAGTTTATATTCAAAAGATTTGAAAATTTATGTCCACAAACTTAACACAAATGTTTATATCAGCTTTGTTTATAATTGCTAAAAACTAGAAGCAATCATGCCCTTCAATAGGTAAATGGATAAACAAACCATAGTGTGTCCTATAATGGAATATTACTCACCAATTAAAAGAAATGAGCTATTAAGCCACGAAAAGACATGGACGAACCTTAAATGCATATTACTAAGTAAAAGAAACCAGTCTGAAAAGGCTACATACTGTATAACTCCAATCATATGACATTTTGGAAAAGGCAAAATTGAAAAAAAAAGTAAAAACACTAGTGGTTGCCAAGGGTTTGGGGAGGGAGAAAGGGTCGAATAGAGGAAGCACAGCCGATACTTTAGAGCGGTGAAATCATTCTGTATGATGCTGCAATTACGGATACATGATACTGTGCATTTGTCAAACCCAAGGAACTTTACAGCACAAACTGTAAACCTTAATGCATGCTAATTAACAAAAAATCACTTAGGAGATCAGCGGAATCCCAGGATGGAATGCAGAATGTGACAAAGCGATAATATATAGTAATTGTATTACAAATGTATGAAACATCTCAATGAAACAGTTGGGGGGAAAGTTGTTGATCAACGTAACTTCAGAAATGAGTTGAGTCTGTAAAACTAAAGGCAACAGAAACTGTCCATAAGCACTGTACTCTAGTTGATAAAGCTGCTTCACAGTGGGGACAGGGTGACAATACTGATACTACTAGAAATGTACACTGGAATTAGGCAATTAACTGAATGAATGGCAAATGAGATGAACGAGATTTCTCACTGTTGGGGTAGGAGTTTACAGATAAGCCAGGGAGGAAGATAGAAGGATCTATGTGATAATGTGTTAGATGTGGGATCAGAATGAACTCATGTTCACTTTTCAAAGTACCCTGGAGGGCGATACATGAAGTGGTCAGCTGCCAGAAGAGGGAGGCTTTGGAGACAACACACAGCCATGGGGGGCCACCCAGATCCCTCAGCAGCCCCTCCCTCCCTTCCCGTGAGCAAAGAACATCCAGGTGGGGGTGAGACAGACCAGGGAAGAAGCCTAGACAATCAGCAAATGCCTGCAGTCCCATCTGGAAGATGAAATGGAGATCAAGGGGACAGGAGGCCTCAGTGGACAGCAGTGTTTCTCCCTTCAAGAGCCAGGTGGAACAGCGAATGGTCAGCAGCCAGCACACACGGGTGGATTATTGGATCTTCTCTATGGTGGCATCTGAGTGCGTGGAATCTTACTTCCCTGAAGGAATGGAGCAACAAGACCAATCTTGATATCATCAAACCTGATGGCTCCATCTGGACCTTGTAAGAGAAGACTGATGCAGCTGGAGGGCCTTGAGTGGTGGGTCATTCACTAAAGTTCCAGGGTCAGAACCGGTGGAATTGATGCAGACTCAGAGACCTGCAGAGCAAGGACTGTGATACCATCATGCTCATTAAAAGGGACTGACAAGGGCCCGTAAGTCCTCAGGGGTAGCCAGGCCCAGGCTAACCATGATCTAGACTCCTGATGGTCCTGCTTCTCCCTCCCACCCCTGTCTATCCAGACTATTGTGATCTTTCTGAAACTTACATATGAAAATACCCTCGCCCTGCTTAAATTCCTGTAATGGCTCCTCACTACCTACAGAATAAAGTTCAAGTTCCTGTGCTTGGCATTCAAGGTCCTTGACAATCTAGCCCTTGCTTACACCTCTAGTTCCCTTCACCACTCTCAAAACACATCCTACACTTTAGTCATACCCAAACACTTTCAGTTCCCCAAATGCTGAATGCTAGGTCACAGCTCCGTGACATTGAGTCAACAACTATGTCCCCTTATGTTTTTATCTTTCAACACCCAAAACTCTTAAGTCATTGGTTCCCAAGTATGAACCCCAGATCAGGAGAATCAGCATCACCTGGAAACATTTAGAGCTGGCCTGGTGGTGCAGCGGTTAAGTGCGCACGTTCGTTTCGGCGGCCTGGGGTTCACCAGTTCGGATCCGGGGTGCGGACAGGTCACTGCTTGGCAAGCTACGCTGTGGTAGGCGTCCCACATAGAAATTAGAGGAAGATGGGCATGGATGTTAGCTCAGGGCCAGTCTTCCTCAGCAAAAAGAGGAGGATTGGCAGCAGATGTTAGCTCAGGGCTAATCTTCCTCAAAAAAAAAGAAAAGAAAAGAAAAGAAAAGAAATGAAATGAAAAATTGCTAGCTCCTAAAGTAGACCTACTGAATCAGATTGTTGGCAGGGCCTGGAAATCTAATGTTTAACAAACTTTCCAAATGGTTCTGATGCATGCTCAAGGCTGACAACCACTGCTGCAGGAAATCTTTTGGACCTGACTCCCATAAGCCTTATATGGCTGACTAAGTAATTCTCTGAGCCCAGATCCCAGAACCAGTTCAGACTTCTATGAGGGCACCCGGGACTCTCCTTATGTTCCTTCGTTGGATCATGTTTTCCTGGTTTAATTAGACGTGGCAGGAATGGTGGCTTATTTATTGTGTCCCCATGGCCTGGCATCATGCCTGCCCAGAGCAAATGCTTGGCACATGGATGTGGAATAAATAAACAAACCAAAGAATGGTTTTGAATCTTTAATTATTATCTTCTTAAGAGTCTCAGCCCAATGCTGATTTGAGTAGACATTGTTTGGGGTGCTCCCCTCCCTCAGCCTATGTCTCATTCTTTTAATTACCCACACTAACCTGCCATACTGAAGTAGAAGGCCTGGTTGGCCATGCTTATATTTGACCTCAGCTTATTGGAACAAAAGTGATCATCCAACCCAGGATAGAATCCATTTTTTGGCAGGACTTAGACAATCGGATTTGAGTCTCGGGGAGGGCAAACTACAACAGTGAGCTCCTTGTAAATTTGAATTGTTTCAGTTCCTGATATATTTTGGATATTGATCTCATCAGATGTATGGTTTGCAAATATTTTCTCCCATTCTACAGGTTTTCTCTTCCTTCTATATATTGTTTCCTTTGCTATGCAGAAGCTGTTTAGTTTTATGCAATCTCATTTGTCTATTTTTGGTTTTGTTGCCTGTGTTTTGGGGTCATAGCCAAAAATTCATTGCCTATACCAATGTCAAGGACCTTTTTCTTTATGTTTTCTTCTAATAGTTTTACAGTTTCAGGTCTTATGTTTGTGTTTAATCCATTTGAGTTAATTCTTGTATATGGTGTGAGATAAGAGTCCAATTTCATCCTTCTACATGTGGATATGCAGTTTTCCTAAAATCATTTATCGAAGAGACTATCCTTTCTCCACTGTTTGTTCTTAGCATCTTTGTCAAAGAGGAGTTGACCGTAAGTCCGTGGATTTATTTCTGGGCTCTCTATTCTCTTCTACTGGTCTATGTGTCTGTTTTTATGCCAGCACGATACTGTTTTGTTTGCTATAGCTTTGTAATATAGTTTGAAATCAGGAAGTATGATGCCTCTAGCTTTGTTCTTTCTCAGGATTGTTTTGGGTATTCAGGGTCTTTTGTGGTTCCATATGAATTTTAGGATTGTTTTTTCTACGCTTGTGAAAAATGCCATTGGAATTTTTATAAGGATTGTATTGAAACTGTAGATAGCTTTGGGTAGTATTGACATTTTAACAATATTAATTCTTCTAATCCATGAACACGAATATCTTTCCATTTACGTCTTCTTCAATTTTGTTCATCAATATCTTACAGTTTTCAGTGTATAGATCTTTCACTTCATTGGTTAAATTTCTTCCTATGTATTTCCCTCTTTTCAATGCTGTTGTAAATGGGATTGTTTTCTTAATTTCTTTTGTGGATAGTTCATCGTTAGTACAGAAATACAACTGATTTTTATACGTTGATTTTGTGTCCTGCAACTTTACTGAATTTGTTCATTAGTTCTAACAGTTTTTTGGTGGAGTCTTTAGGGTTTTCAATATATAATATTGTGTGCTCTGCAAAGAAAGATAATTTTACTTCTTCCTTTCAGATTTGGGTGACTTTTATTTCCCTTTTTGTCTAACTCTTCTGGCTAGGACTTTCAGTACTATGTTGAACAGAAGTAGCAAGAGTGGGCATCCTTGTCTTGTTCCTCATCTTAAAAGAAAAGCTTTCAGCTTTTCACCACTGCATATGATATTAGCTGTGGGCCTGTCATATATGGCCTTTATTATGTTGAGGTACATACCTTTAAACCTAATTTGTTGAGAGTTTTTATGATGAAAGGGTGTTTAATTTTGTCAAATGCCTTTTCTACATCTAGTGAGACGACATATGATTTTTATCCCTCATTTTGTTAATGCGTGTATCACACTTATTGTATTGCATATGTTGAACCATCTTTGCATCCCAGGGACAATTCTTACTTGATCATAGTGTATGATTGTTTTTATGTGCTGCTGAATTTGGTTTGCTAGTATTTTTTTAAATTGAGTTCATAATAGTTTACATCATTGTGAAATTTCAGTTGTACATTATTTCTTGTCCGTCACCATATAAGTGACCCCCTTCACCCCCTGTGCCCACCCCCCAGCTCCCTTCCCCTGGTAACCACTGAACTGTTCTCTTTGTCCGTATGTTTGTTTATCTTCCACATATGAGTGAAATCATATGGTGTTTGTCTTTCTCGGTCTGGCTAATTTTACTTAACACAATACCCTCCAGGTCCATCCACGTTGTTGCAAATGAGATGATTGTGTCTTTTTTATGGCTGAGTAGTATTCCATTGTATATATATATACCACATCTTCTTTATGCAATCATCGGTCGATGGGCACTTGGATTGCTTCCATGTCTTGGCTATTGTGAATAGTGATGCAATGACATAGGGGTACATAGGTCACTTTGGATTGCAGGTTTCAAATTGTTTGGGTAGATACCCAGTAATGGGATAGCTGGGTCATATGGTAGTTCTATTTTTAGTTTTTTGAGGAATCTCCATACTGTTTTCCATAGTGGCTGCACCAGTTTGCATTCCCACCAGCAGCGTATGAGGGTTCCCTTCTTTCCACACCATCTCCAACATTTGTTATTTTTAGTCTTAGTGATTATAGCCATTTTAAAAGGTGTAAGGTGGTATCTTAGTGTAGTTTTGATTTGTATTTCCCTGATGATTAGTGATGTTGAACATCTTTTCATATGCTTACTGGCCATATGTATATCTTCTTTGGAAAAATGTCTGTTCACATCCTCTGCCCATTTTTCGATCGGGCTGTTTGTCTTTTTGTTGTTCAGTTGTGTGAGTTCTTTATATATTACGGAGATTAACCCCTTGTCGGATATATGACTTGCAAATATTTTCTCCCAATTGGTGGGTTGTCTTTTTGTTTTGATCCTAGCTTCCTTTGCCTTGCAGACGGCCTTTAGTCTGATGAAGTCCCACTTGTTTATTTTTTCCTTTGTTTCCCTTGTCTGAGAAGACATGGTATTCGAAAAGATCCTTTTAAGTTCAATGTCAAAGACAGTTACTACTGTAGGGGCATTATCCAGCATGCCCCTCCCTTTTTTTTTTTTGAGGAAGATTAGCCCTGAGCTAACATCTGCTGCCAATCCTCCTCTTTTTGCTGAGGAAGACTGGCCCTGAGCTAATAGCCGTGCCTATCTTCTTCTGCTTTTTATGTGGGAAGCCTACCACAGCATGGCTTGCCAAGCGGTGCCATGTCCGCACCCGTGATCTGAACTGGTGAACCCCCGGCCGCTGAAGCAGAACGTGCACACTTAACTGCTGTGCCACCAGGCCAGTCCCCCAGAGTGCCCCTTTAAAAACCATGTGTCCTTGAGTCTCCTGTCTGAGCTGTGCACCAGCATTCACGATGATAACAGTCCTGGGCTTGGCCAACAACTCAGGTGCTTTCTCATGGGAGAGTTAGCACCAAGACCCTCGCAGTCTGAGGGAACATGGAGGCCCTCTGGGGGGCTTTGGTCCTTGCAATGCAGGTCATACAGGGATGATACTTCTTGGCAAGCTCACAGCCTTTGTTCCTCTGCCTACTTAAGCAAGCTTCTCTTAGAGGGTTGTAGTGGGTGGATGTTGCTGTCCAGTTGGCTGCCACTGGACCTTCCCTGTAAGTAACTCCCAGTAAACCCATATGTCTCGTTTGCTGTTTCTGGGTCTTTTCTTTGGTCTCTCGGCAACCTATCCCACACTGCTCACCCAGATAGGCATGTGGGGGAACAACTGCCTATATATTCTTCCAGAAATTTTATGGTTTCAGGTCTTACCTTCAAGTCTTTGATCCATTTTAGTTTTTTGTGTATGGCATGAGATAATTGTCTACTTTGATTCTTTTGCAAGTGTTTGTCCAGATTTCCCAGCACCATTTATTGAAGAGACTATCTTTCCTCCATTGTATGTTCTTGGCCCCTTACTCAAAGATTAGCTGTCCAGAGATGTGCAGTTTTATTTCTGGGCTTTCAGTTCTGTTCCATTGATCTGTGTGCCTGTTTTTGTACCAGTACCATGCTGTTTGATCACTATGGCTTTGTAGTACATTTTGAAGTCAGGGATTGTGATGCCTCCAGCTTTTTTTTTTTTTTAATTAGGTTTGCTTTAGCTATTCAGGGTCTTTGGTTGCCGCATATGAATTTTAGGATTCTTTGTTCTATTTCTGTGAAGAATGTCATTGGGATTCTGATTGGGACTGCATTGAGTCTGTAGATTGCATTGGGTAATATGGACATTTTCACTATGTTTATTCTTCTGATCCGTGTGCATGCAATATCCTTCCATTTCTTTAGGTCGTCATCTATTTCTTTCAATGGTGTCTTATAGTTTTCATTGTATAAGCCCTTCACCTTCTTGGTTAAATTTATTCCTAGATATTTTATTCTTTTTGTTGCGATTGTAAATGGGATGGTATTCTTGAGTTCTCTTTCTGTAAGTTCATTATTGGAGTATAGAAAGATAAACTGATTTTGTAAGTTGATTTTGTGCCCTGCAACTTTACTGTAGTTGTTGATTATTTCTAATAGTTTTCTGATGGATTCTTTAGGGTTTTCTATATATAAGATCATGTCATCTGCAAATAGCAAGAATTTCACTTCTTCATGTCC